GGCAGCATAGGGCTAGCAGCTCGCGCCCCCTCTCTAGCCCCCCCAGGTGGTTCTCAGCCCTGCTGGAGCCAGGCACTCCAGCTGCAGGCATTTCATCCACCCTGGCTGCCCACCAGGAGCCAGAGAAAGGCCGAGCCCCAGGACAAGAGCGATGCTCTCTTCAGTTCACAGCAGGTGCTGCGGTGCCCTCAGAGATCCCAGCCCAGAGGCAGCCCCCAGCTCTCACGGGCGCGGGGAGGAAGCAGGCTCTCAGGGGGCGCAGCTCTAGGATCCAAGCTCCCTCCCGCATGCCCCCCTACCCCAGCTGTTCCTCACCCCCTGCCGCTTCACTGAGAGCCCCCTTCATCTTCACTGCAATGCCCTCTCTGCCCGCCTAGTGGAAGCCGGGTCAGATCCAGCCCTGCAAATAAACCTCGGGCTCCTGACCCACACAAGGCTTCGCTGGGCTATGCAAAAGCAGCTGGGGGTCCACAATGGCTCAGGGCATCACAGCTGGGGACCCCAGGATGTTCATTCTGAAGGAACTGGGCCGGGCACCTCCCCAAGTCAGGACACAAGGAGATGCCGCCAGCAGCAGGCTCAGCGCTAACCTGAGACCCCAGTGCCCACCTGCAGCCTGGCTCTGAGCGTCCCCTTCCTCTGCAGTCCGCTTGGCTCCAGGCCCTGGCCCAGGAGCGAGCGCTCAGCCACTGTCGCAGGGTGGCAAGCGGCAGCAGCGCAGAGGGAGGAGGGAGAGCGAGGGCGGGCACAGCGTGCCAGGAGCAGCTGGGAACAAGGAAGGCGAGGGCAGGACTCCCGTTCTTGCAGACAGCCCTCTGCCCGGTGCAGAGCAGCCCAGGTGCCCAGACATCGCCTGCACCACACAGCAAAAATCTGGGCAGCTCAGCGCATGGACACAGCATGCATTCGTTACTGCTCGGCCTGGCCCGCCCAGCCCTGGCCCCACGCACCAGCACCAGCACGCCTCCATGCACACCCGACACACTCTTCCTCCACCAGCACCCAGCAGTACCTGGCCCTGCAGCTCACCAGCCACAGGCCCCAGGGGAGCAGCAGGAGCAGCAGTGAGAGCAGAGGTGGCAGAGGGAGGGCTGTCGACAGAGATGGGGTGCACCAAGCAGCAGGGCCAAGGCCAGGGGGAGCAAACCCTGGGTCCAACCTCGTGGTGGGGGACGGGGTCACAGCTAATCTCCGGAGCTCCCCCACCCCCAAGAAACCGCCACCCCCAGGCCTGCTCGCTGGGTACCTGGGAGGGGGGCTCCCCTCAGGCCACCAAGGGGATGGGTTTCCTCTCCGTGTCGGCAGCCACCCGAGCTCTTACCCTCTTTGCAGATCCTGTCCCCTCTCTCGGCTCTTCCCAGCTCCTGGGGGTCCCCATCAGGCCCTCGGGGCCTCCACCCCGCAGCCTCCTCCTCACAGTCAGACCAAAACTGCTTCCTCCTGGGGGCACAGCCTCCCGCAGGCAGCCCCCTGTCCTCAGCATCACCGGGCAGTCCCTCTGTGATGGGCTGCAGCCCAGGCCGTGACTTCTTCCTCTGCGGCGGGTAGCTTTCCGCAGGAGCCACGGAGTGGCCTCCCAGTGGCAGAGCTGGTGCCCAGGTGGGGCCCTGCAGCCCCTCGCCATTGGAGGGAGCTCTGCCCACGGCTGCCTGCTGGAGCCCGGGGAGCTCCTGCAGCGCTGCTCCTTCCCCCCACGCCAGCTGGCCTCTCTGCTTGTTGATGGCATTGCGATAGCGGAGCTCCTTGAACGTGGTCACCTCCCTCTGGCTGGAACCAGGGGGGTTTGCCTGCTTGTCAGGCTGGGGCTGGGGCTGGGGCTGGGGCCTGGGCAGCTCCTGGCCCTGGGCGCTGCAGGCAATTAGCTCGCTGGGTGGTGGCAGCTCCGTGTCGGGAGAGAAAACAATCAGCCAGTCGCTCCTGTCCTTCTTGGCCTGCGCGAGGTGGGGTCCAGCCACGTTCCTCTTCCGTTTCTGAGCCAGCTCGTGGAAGGAGGTGATGTTTTTTCTGGCGGGGTCTCGGGGCGGCTCTCCCAGGCTGCCCATGGGCTCAGCAGGTGCCTCTGCTGGGCCAGGCTTCTCCGTGGCCACCCTGCTCAGCAGTATCTGCAGCCCTCTCTTCGGCCGCGGGGGCACGGGGGGTGGGCCGCTAGCTGGCCCAGGCATAGGCTGCGGGGCTCTGTTCAGGTTGAGGTCCAGCTGTCCAGGTGCTAGTGCACAGGTGCCCGGATGGGGGCTGCCCATGGCAGGAAGGGCGTTGCAGTTGGAATCCAGCTCCCCGCCGATGGCTGGGGGGGGGCGCTCCCCCGGGGTCTCCGGCATGTCCACGCTGACAGAGGTCGTGTCCGACAGGGAGTTGAGGGAGCTGCTGCTGCAGAGGCTGTCCGGGCTGCCCTGGGCCAGAGCCTCCAGGCACTCCCACTCTGGTGGGCTGAGGCGTGAATCTCTTCCATCCGGCACAACGGTGTCCTGCTCGGTTGGTGGTGCGGCATCGCGGGCATCTTCAATGGGGACGATGTTTGGCTGCGGGTCTGAGGACTGGGTCTCATCACTGGGGAACTCCTTGTAGTAAACAGAGACAGGGGTGTCGTCCAAGCTGAAATCTGAGCAGCTGCTGACAGAGGAGGAGGAGGCTGGGTCAGAGGGGGAAGCCAAGTTCTCCTCCACAGGCAGGGAGAGGAAATCCCCCAGGGCAGGCTGGTTCTGGAGACCTGACTTCAGCGGCTGCGACACGTGGGACTCGCAGCACCGGCACTGCAGCGAGGGGTTGTTGGAGTTGGCATCAACTTGCTCCAGGGCACCATGGGTCTCCTGGCAGTCGCTGCAGCCTGTCTGCTCTCGTGGTGCCGTGGTGACCGAGCCTTCTCGGAGCTCTGGGTGCCGGGAGAGGTGCAGCCCCAGGGAGACATGCTGCAGGTGGATGTGGTTGAGGTTGCACAGCAGGCCTTTCTTCGGGGACAACATGATGCCAGGGGGTTGGCGGTGCCCAGGTTCAGACACCACAGCCCAGCTGCTCAGATCATCCACCACCCTGAAAAAGGCAACATGTCTTCTCAGTCACAACAGGCAGCAGCAAGACAGAGCGAGCACAGCAGGGCAGACGGATGGGTAGAGAACGGGCAGGCTGCCCCCATGCAGCATCCACAAGGAGGGACAGGAGGGGGCTGTGGCTCCAGGCAGAGGGAGCAGGACCCTACCCGGGACACAGCTGGCAGAGACAAGGTGGCATCAGGAGAGGGAACGAGGACAAGAGCTCCAGACTGGACCCATCTCCTGGGGAGCAGCCTGCTCTGTGGGGCATAAAGGGTCTGTCCCCATCCCCTTAGCTCCAGCTGTTCTCTGGGGCTCTGGCCCAGGGGCTCCCTCAGGTGTGCCAGCAGCTTCATGGGCTGGCCTCAGATCTGCAAAGGCAGCAGCAGGCCTGAATTACCTCTGCCAAGTTGCAGCAGTCTGGACCTCAAGGAGACGACACCCTTGAAGCTCAGCTCGCCCTCAGCGTGGGCCCCAGGCTCTGTCTGAGGGTGCGCCCAGTGCCAGGAAGAAGCTAAAGGCTGAAGCTGCGTCTGGGGAGTCACTTGCTGCTGCCCTGCCTGTGCCCAGGCATCAGGGCAGCAGGAGGCAGACCTGGAAGGCATGAGGAGAGAAGTCACGGACAGGCAGGCCCCACACGAGACAGGCAGCGATGGGCCCCACCGGCATCGCCTGGCACCTCACCCGCGGCCCGTGGGGCTGGTGCTCGGCCGAGGCTGCTGCACCAGGGCAGCCATGATCTCAGGCTCTCCCTCCCGCAGCTGCCCTGCACCCGGCTCCAGCCCCGGCCCAGGCTCCGCAGCAGAAGGGGAGCCGGGCAGGCCCGTCCCCGAGAGCCCCTCGCCTCTCCCGCAGGCCGATCGGGCACCGCCGCCAGGCTGGCGCCGCCACAGCGGCCTGGCAGGAAAATACCGCTGGCCCCCCGGCCCCCCCCCCGTACCAGCCAGCCT